ACCAATTCATTGCTCTTTGTCGAATATGCCATATAAGCTGGAATTCTAAGCTGCCATTTTGAGTTACTTTTCGTTAGGTCTCTTCCTCGTGACGTGTGCTGCGTGTATTAATAAACGGTTTTTCTCTTGTTCATCTAACATTTTGTTAAAGTCCCAGCTGAAAACCTAAGTTGGGTAAAGGTAAAGTTTTGCGTCTCCTCCAGAATTAAACTACACATTCTGAGGGAGGGAGGGAAACTGGTCCAGCACAGGTTCTGGAACCAGGTCTCAAGTTCACATCTTGCCTCCTCTGCCTACTGGCTGCACGTGACCTTGGGCAAGCAACCCACACCCCATGTTTCCCTTTCCTTTCTCCCTCACGGGGCTGGTGTGAGGATCATGAAGTGGGTATTTATAAAGTGCTTAGAAGAGTGCCTGGCACACAGTAAGCCCGACTCCTGGAAATGACTTATCAGGTATCTTGGAGAACATCCATCTTCATTCATCGAGAACTCGTTCTTTATAAATGACTGCATTGTATCCAGTATGTGAATTACCATAATGTACTTAACCATCTGGATTGATGGACATTTAAATTTGTTTAGAATCTTCTTATATTACAAAGACTGATTCAAAGCTATTCATTCATGTCTGCCCGCCTGCCTCACTCAGCTCCCAGAATGCACCACACTCTCTCTGGCTTCCTGACCTTTGCCCTTTCCACTCCCTCCTCCTGGAACATTCTTCACCTGCTCTCTGACCTCTTGGCTGATTCTTGCACAACATCCAGTTCTTGGCTCTGAAGTCCTGCTTCGAGGAAGGCTCCCTGGGTCCCTGACAGGCCGTGTCCACCTGTGAGAAGCTCGCAGAGTCCATCTTGCCCCTTGCCACCTTCAAGTTACTGACCTTCTTCCTTGCAGACTGAACACAGGTGCGACCCTGGATAAGCCTGGTGGCTCACCATGGACCCTTGGGCCTGACACTGAGCAGGTGCTCACCAACCCTTGTTGACTGATGGATACCACAGATTATGTTCCTCTCACTTGTTTTAATATTCTAAATCCACAAGAGACACAGATTTTAGAAAATGCATTTCCTTGTGCTCAAGGTCACAGCTGGCCCTGGCAAAGCCGAGGGCTGTTAGCAAGCTCATTGGTCTGAGTTCACAGCCTATCTGCTTCCTGCCCTGATCAAGTAACAACAACTAACGCCGAACACTCAAGTGCGAGCCTTTATGGATTATTGGACTTAATTCTCCCAGTAACCCTCTGAGGCAGATACAATGACTGTCTTCCTTTAGAAATGAGGACATTAAGGCTCAGAGAGGGGAGCAGCTGGACCAAGGACACACAGCCAGTAAGGGGTGGGGTGAGCATCAAATCCAGGTCCAGCTCAGGGCCCTGGGCACTTGTTTCTTGGTTCCTTCTGCCGGTGTTCTTGGAGCTCCAAGGACTTGGTTTAGATAATTGTAGGCCTTTGTGATAACTCTCACTCCCGGGGACTTCCCCCACTCCACTTCAGATCTGTCATGTGGCTGGGGAGCTCAGTGTTCAGATGGCCAGTCTCCTTGCAATTCTGGCCACCACTGGGGATCTGGGGACCTGTCTGGCCTGGCTGCAGGGGAAGCAGTCCCATCTCCCTGCAGTCGAGGGATCATTGATAAACCTGATAAGAGCCTTCTGTGTCTCAGGTGACTGGAGCCTCGACCTCCAGGTTCCTGGCTGAAAATCATCCAACATTTGGGGAAGAAAATAGGGAGAGAGGGTGCAAGGGTCACCCAAGCTGACCTGCCACTTACCAGTCTGAAGCCTCCTGATGAACCCCATCACCTGCAGGGAGCTCAGGTGTCCCAAATCCACCTGGGGGCTGCAGTGTGGTCGTCAACCTACAGTACTGCTGATCTGGGGATGCAGGAACTCAGAGGCTTGGGAAACTGTTACTGACAACACAGGTCACTGGGCTAAGAGCATGATGTGTGCTGATTCCTCTAATCCTGCTCAGAACCCATTTTACGAGGTGGGAAAACCGCAGAGCAGAGAGAGAGGTGAGTCGAGGGGCAAGGGCTTGAACACAGGCCATCTCTGGGGTCCGTTCTTGGTTTCATCAGTCTACTCCAGTCCCACAAGTCTGAGGGGGCTTTTTGTCTTTCAGTAGGGGACAAGATGCTGTCCCGGGCACTGGCTCCCTCTCAGAGCCCAGAGATTCTGTGACTTGTCCAAGGTCATACCTGGTAAAAAAACAGAACCTAAGTTCAAAGTGGAATCCGCCTGCCCCACACCTTCACACATCCTTTGGGTTCGTCTATTGAGGAAGGAAAAACCTTCTGCCTCTCTGTCAAAGAACCAACCCCTGATCATCCTTCACAACCCAGCTCAACGGTGCCTTCTTCTGAGAAGTCCTCCCTGATTTCCTTTACCCCACTCCCCACCTGTCCTGGTCATCCCTCTTGCCTGTCCTTGGGCCTGCCTTTTTCACAGCATTTGAGACTGGTGGTCAAGGGCCGTGGCCTTGGAGCCAGGCAGTCAGGGATTCGAGTCTCGGTTCTGCCTCTTACTTGGTGTGTGACTTCAGGTAAGTCCCTTTACCATGGTAAGCCTCAGTGTCCTCCTCCTCACATAAAATGGGCTAACCATGGTACCTTTGGGTTGAGGTCCAACTACATTAGGTAAGGTACGTACATGGCCTGGCACAAAGTTAGTGCTCAAATAACTGCTGCTGTTATCATCAGTAGTAGCTAAAGACCTGGTCCTGGCACTGAGGGTCTCAGGTGCTCAACAGGGAGGGTAATTGGCCCTTAATAAGCTTCCTAGTCCAGCCCAGGCCGGGCAGGGACAGTGCTGGGAGGCATTCCCTTCACACCCTGCTCCCCCTCCCCATATACACTCCTGTTTTCAGCTCTACCTTCTTAGCAACTTTGCTGGAAGAGCCTGGAATCCCTTGCTGGAACCTACAGGTGCCCTTTAGAACGATGCCCCCCTGTGGCTGAATGAGAACCTGCTTTGGGAGGAGGAGAGGGACCAGGTATCTAAGCACCTACCACATGGGGCGCTTTCAGCATCACAGTCTTCATCCTTTAGATAGGGAGGCTTTATCCCCATTTCATCCAGGCACTTATTTGTTGGGGACCTATTATGTGTCGGGCACTATGACCGGAGCTCAGGATGTAAGAGTGAAGAACACAAAAACCCCTGCCTTCTTGGAGTTTATAATCTAGTGGAGGGATGAGGGAAACAAACACACAGGGACAGCGAGTGTACAGTGCATCAGATGGAGACAGGATGATAAGGAAAATAAAGCAGGACAAAGGGACAGGGAGTGATGGGCAGGGGCCAGGTCCTGCAGGCCTCTTTAGGCCTCAGTGAGAAGTCTCCAGGGGTAATGAGCAGCTCCTGAGGGCTCTAAAGGAAGGAGTGATGGATGTGGTGATTGCATGTGAACAGACTGTTGGGGCAAGGGCAGAAGCAGGGGACCGACAAGGAGGTCACTGCAGCTGTCGATGTGAGAGCTGATGGAGGCTGGGCCTGGGAGATGGCAGGGGAGGGATGACAAGCGGCTGGATTTGGGATGCATTTGTGGCGGAGCCTAGAGTTCTTGCTGATGGACTACTGCACGTGAGGTGAGGCGTGAGGTCACTGAAGAGAGAGGCAGTCACACGGCACAGAAGCCTGCTCAGTGCAGGACCCAGGACAAACACTACAAGGCAACGATGTGGTTTCTGCTCTGCTTCTCTGTCCCGGCCTGAGTAGAGTGGACATGGAAGAGGGGTAAGGGAGGCCACAGCTCCAGCCTGTGACACAGGAGGAAAGCCCATTTTAAAGAACGAAGACGTCCTTTTATTTGGCCCTGGGAGGGAGAAGTCCCGACAGCAGTTCCCTCTGAAAATGCCAGTGGTTAGGATAGAGGGAGCAGCAGGCACCGGCTGCTTCCCTGCCATGAGCTCAAAGTCAGCTTTGAGGCGTTCCTGGAGGGAACAGGCACTCTGGACTGTTGGTGGGCAGGGAAAGGGCGCTGCCGCTCTAGAGGGCACTCTGGCAATGCCATCCAAAGCGATAAAGTCGTGCCCAGCTCTCACCCCACATGCCGGCTTCCTCCCATGGCCATCTCCTGAGCAAGCAACCAGATGTGCCCCAAACTACCTCCAAGGTTGTTTGGCACAGTGTGGTTCACAAGACCAAACAGAATCAGTACACATGTCCCACAGCAGAGACTAGTTAAAACTGAATTCGTCAAAGAGGGCATCATAACAACAGCTAACTTGCGACGAATTTTGGATATCTTTCCATCAGGACACGTCCCATGTGTTGCAATATATCCTTGGCCCGGCCCATTTAATGCAAGAAGGTTCTCTTACTCGCCAACCAATTTTTGGGATGACCCAGTGCCCTTAAAGATGAGTAACATCCTCAGTTGAGAACAACTGCCCTGACTTCAGAAGACCCAGGACAAATGGCTGTTGAGTAACCTTTTTTTTTTTTTTTGGTTAAAAAAACAAACCTGTGAAAGCCTATCTGGGTGGACAGACCTTTCTAGCTGGGCCCCCCAGAACAGAAAACTAGAGCTGAAACATCTTTATCCAGCCTGGATCCAGACCAGTGTGATCCCTGGTTCTGTGGCTGGGAATCCCTCTGATCTTGGGCCAGACACCCGGCTAGTCCCTGGGGGCTGCAAGTTAGATCAGCTGCCTCACTCCCTCCCAGGGCTGGGTGGGAATCCAGAGGCCTTGCAGACTCTTCCAGATGATGCAGGCTGTCAGTGGCATTTGTATCTCTCTTCTGGTGTGTACTAAGGGACCTAAGCAGGAACCCTGGAGGAGGGTGAGGGGCTTAGGGATGGAGTATATACGCGGGATGCTGGTTAACAGCACCAGCTTTGGAAGCAGACGGTACCTCCCACTTACCAGTTATATGAGCTGGGCTTCAGGTTTTGCCTGTAAAATGGGACCCTTGTGAGGCACTGAAGTACTTACAATGGCTGCTGTGATTTCTTCAAAGCAATCCATTAGAAAGTACAAAACTCCATTGTCCTCATTCTGGTTTTTAATGGTCAAGGTGACAATTTACAAAGTTCCCCCACCCTGCACTTAGTTTCCATAGTTTACCTCCACCTGCTGGAGGGCAAGCTGTGGCAGATGCTGCAGCCCGGCAGGCCCTCACCAGTGTGGGGTTGCAAACACCAAGCCAAGTGCCTTTCTCAGGATGGGTCTGGGTTGAAACCCCAGCTCTTGGTAGCAGTAGTGTTGGTTCCTGGCTTGTCGCAAGGTGTGAAGCAGGAAAGAGAGAGTGATTGGTGACGACTGCTTGAGAAAAGGATTGAGGCACGTTATGATTCAAAACCAGGAGATTCTGAGTCAGTGTTGATTCTAAGCCTGTGGTTCATTTAATAGGGAGGTGTAAAGGCTTCCATCCAAGGCCCCGGTGATCCTCCTCTCCCACTTGCACAGGAAGCACACTCAGGGGGGAGGGTCTTTACCTGGCTGGGACTACTGTCCAAGTTACTGCCAGTCATAACTCAGCAGGGCAGAGGACAACTGTGAAACGAACCTGCACATGAAAGCTACACACTGACACTACATTCGCTCTCCAAATCTGCTCAGCAGAAGCCTCCTGCAAATGCTAACAGAGGAAAAGGTGCTGGCAGCACGGGGAACCCATCCCTTCTTCAACAGTTGGTTTGCCACGCAGCATCAGTGAAGAGCTCAGTGACATTTTGACTCTGTTTCTCTTTTAGGCCAAGATACCTTGACTCTGAACTCGTTTGGGTGGGCACGAACTGTTTCCCAATAAGATATCCCCTCTATGTCCTGGGTACAGATTTCTGCACGTGGAGTAAGGAAAGCAATGACAGAGTGGCTAAGAATCACCAGGGTGGGAGCAGCCTGGATGAGGGAGGAAAGTGCTGGGCAGGCAGGTGTAGTTAGACTCTCAACTGGCCAAGGGCTGGGAGCTTGAATTGCCCAGGGTTTGAGTGAAAGGAGCACAGGGAAGTTTCATTTTCACCTGAAGGGGTCGTGTGCATCTAGATCTGACCTCACACTACAGGGACCTCTTGCTACTGCCCAGTTTTATCCTGGCACGAGATCTGCTCTTGTGGGAGGAAGTGGCTACAAAGCCTCCTTCTACAAGTCCTCCTGCTTCCTTTCCTATAAAGGGGGCAATCCTCCACCAGTCATCTGAGGGGTGGCTGGTGGACACATGAGTGGATGGGAGCTGTGTGCCACAAGAAACTTTTACGCAGAAAGGATGGAAGGCAGGCTCCTCCCGACATGCCCAGGAGGTAAATATGATTTTAAAGCGATCAGAATTTGCTGCAGTGGGAGAGGTTCTGTGCAACATGCTGGTGATATCCCTTCAATTTTTTTGGTTGTTTTTATTTTTTTCTTTAAAGTCCATTGATCGTCACAAAAACCCAGGAAATGCAACTAAGGAGAAAACAAATGTCCAACCGAGATCTAAGAACCCAGAGCTACGGAGAAGACGTGGCACTGGACTGCTGGGTGTGCAGGAGAGGGTGGGGGGGGGGGGCGGTCCCCATGGGGCAGCTGGCCACGGGAGACAGAGGGAGGCACGGCCGGGCCAGATGGTTATGTTAACCGCTGCACGATGACGGCGTTGAGCAGGTTGGCTTCCTTCAGGGTCTGGCTTTCGTCAGCCAGCTCTTTGTTTGGGAAGGTGGTCATGAGGACAAAGCTGGTGGCAGCCATGGCTGGCCGGGCATCCACGATGAAGAGTCGGATGTCGCTGATCCTGGTGGAGTGGGGGTGAGTGGGGAGGTGGGTGAGCAGTGCCCTTCTATGCTGTCCACAAACCCCACCTGTGGAAGGCTGCACCACACCCCCCAAGGCCCTCCCTGGTCCCATCCTTCCCCACAGAGCCGTGAAGCTCTCAGTTGGAAGCCCATCGGATCATGTCACTCTTGCTAAAAACTCTTCATGGCTGCTCCCATTTTCTTTGGGAGAAACACCAACCTCCTTACTGTGGTCCCAAGGCCTAACTTTATACCACCCTCCTTCTGTTGTTCTCTGTCTCCCTCCTTTTAGTTCATCATGCCATGCTCCCTGCCTACTTTGGGTCCCTCTTCCTAAGGGGTCCTCTGCCTGATCCTTTTCCTATAATCCTGATCAAACCTCACGCCTCACCTCGAATGCCGCTTCCTCAGGGCATCCTTCCCCAAACTCTTGGTCTCTGTGCCCTGATCTTGCTTCCATGGTACTGATTAGTAGGTTTGTAACCAAACAATTGTGGGATGATTTGATTAATGTCTGTCTCCTCTTTAGACCATGAATTCCACAAAGGCAGAAAATATTATGTCTCTTTTGTACATCACAGGAGGCACTCAAACTATTAGTGAGAAGAATTAATGGAGGTCAGCAACTTTTACGTGCCAGGAATCCCCTCTCCAGGCACTGCTTGTATCCTGAACCTGACGATCATACAAGAGTGGAGCCACCTGGAAACAGACAGCCTTTTCCACTAGAGCATTTAAATAGAAGTTGTTTTCCATCATCAACCCTTAAAATCCACAATTTGGCACATTTAAGGGTTGGACACCCAAGACGCAGCCCGAGACTTTGAGCAAACAGCCCTCTCTTACCCAGCTGGTGAGCACTTGGGATGGGCTGTCCACCCTGGGGGGAGGGTGCGGGGGAGTGGGGCGGCAGTCACGCTGAAAGGCTGGAGTTAATGAGTGAAATGAAACTGAGGTGAAGAACTCAGATCAGTGAAAGGGGTTAATCCCCTTAAGCACCAAGCACCTGAAGTGCAGGGCAGTGTTCCTAATGAATGAGAAACGTTTGCACAAAGCCTCCTTGTGCTCCCAGGGCTGGTTGTACAACTTACCCTGCATGTGAACCCTGTCAACACTCAAGGATTGTCAAGTCATTCACTGGGCCCCACATGTGGGTTCTGGTCTAGTTGGCCTATGACTGATGACATTTAGACACTGCTATTTACAAAAAGGAGTTGCCAAATATTTTTACTGTTAACAGTCCTTCCCCACTAACGTCTTCATCACTCTGTGCCTCAGTTTCTCCTTCTTTAAAATAGGGGAGGCACAGTTTGCTTTGATCCAGCCAAGTGATCTGAGATAGAGCAGGTTTTCTAGAACTCTCAAAGGTCAGATCTAGAAGAGATCTTAAGAGCCTGGTGGTTTTCAGAGGTCCCTTGTGGGGAGGGAGGTGGAGGAAACCCTGCATGGGATGCTAGCACTGCATCCCCTCTCCCCTCCATCAACCACAGCCATTCAAATTTTATCTGTTCTACATTTGGGCTGCATGAGACTCCCTTTGAACAAAGAGTTTGCCGGCTAAAAACCCCGAGGAATCCAAACCTTAATTTTACAGATGAGGAATGAGGCCCACAGGATGGGAAGTGAGGAGCCACTGGCCACATTTACTGGAAGAGTGGGGATGAGAACCGAAGGCTTCAGACTTACACACCTTCCATGGCACTGCCTCCTTTAGGGGAAGCATAGAGCACCAGCGCCTGCTGGTGTTCAGGAGGAAGAATAGCTCTCTGCTTGCCACCTACTTGTGGGAGTGTCTGGGACCCTCCTAGAATCAGCTAGGCCAGACAACGCAAGGTACCTGTGGCTGTGGTTAAACTTCTGCACCAGCCTCCCGCCGTCAGCAAGCCGTATTTGGATGTTTGTGGTAGGCTGTGCCTCATCGATTGAGATGGAGGAGCTGGCTTTGGCTTCGTTTTCTGCCTGTTGGGCTGGAGAGCTGGTATTCAACACTTGGGGGGCAGTGCTGAGGAGAGAGGATCGTGTCAGGACACAAACAGAAACAAGGCCCCCAGTAGGAGGGGCATCCTGTCTCAGGTTTTTACTGAGCATTTGCTGCACCTGGTGCTGCTGACACAAGACGTGACCAAGAATCTCTGCCCTCATGGAACTTAGAGGTCTAGCAGAATTCACCTCAAACCCTGAAATTACTGGTAGCTCCCTCCCTCCTAAGTAACCTTGGGCAAGTTACTCAACCCCTTTCTTCCTTGGTGTCCTCACCTGCACAAGGGCTTGAAGGGAGGAAAGCAGTATGCACAAAAGCCTGGGGTGGGAGATGGGGACCTGAGGCTGGCAGACCTCACAGACCAGAGTGGGTTTTAGCCTCAATGAGAGGCTAAGGGCAGAAGAGGGAGGGGGCACCCCAAATCTGCAGTGGAGGCAGGCTTGACACAGCCCGGCAGTGGCTGATGAAATGTAAGGGATGAGTCCAGACTCTTTCCCTGTGATGGAATTTTCAAGCCTGCATTCCTTGGTGCAACCTCACTTGTGTGTATTTCATACTCATGTGTCAACTATCAGAAGGGGGCCAAGATGTCCTGAAGGCCAACTAAGTGCCCAGCACCAGAGGGACTAAGTATACAATATGAATAGGACATGGTGTCTGCTGCTGTGTTCAGATCTTAGAATCACATGACCCAGGGTTTGATTTACCCACTAGCTATGTGGCATTGGGCAAGTTACTTAAGCTTCCTTAGTTTCAACAAGGGTACTAACAAGATCTTTAATAAGGGTTACGGCTACCTGCCTTGCTCAGTTTTTGTGGGGATTAAAGGGGAGAATTACATAAAGCACTCAGGGTGCTGACAAACACAAAATGCACACACAACTCTCAATTCTCCACCACCATTTGGAGCCTTCGTCTCTCTCCTGTAAACCACCTATGCATCTTACTGCCAGCCTTTCTCTGAGGAGATGCCCTGGCCTAGACCTTTGCAGAGGAGAGAGGCCATTAGATGAGAGCTTGCTTGCTTCCTCCCCAAGCCTCTGATTAGATCAGCACCTACAGCTTCCCTCTGATCTTTAAACCTAAAAAGGTACTCCTAGCAAATTCAACTGAAAGTGCTTTCCCTGGGACCCTAGTCCCTTGAGATACCTCTGGGAAGGTTTTGGAAATGGCACATATTAGACCAGCAACATCACAGGCCACTAGCATATTAAAGCTCTTGAGAGACCATGCAGTTAAGGCAAACTTATTTGACTACCATGTCCTTTTCTCACGTTACACTTACTAACCTCCTGCAGAGTATTTCATGGAACACAGTTTTTGAAACATTGCCCCAGAACATTTAACTAGCAAAGAAAAAATGAAAAGTGAACTTATCCTTTTCTGTAAATGGGAAAAATATGGGCTTAGAGAATTATAAAGTGGGGCTCAGAAGAGAATGCTGGCCACACTTACTAGATGTAAGAGGAGCTTCTTCTATGCATTGGTCTCACAGCACGTGGGACTTAAATGTGGGCTGGGACACAGATAAATTACAATACCACAGGCCTCAAGAGATGCTTGGAAATAGTGAAAAGTTAAATGTTACACATGTAAATGCCTAAGATCTACTCTGTTTTGTTCATTAGTTTTATGGGCGCTAGGTCAACTCTCTAAGACTGTAGGCAGCCTGTCCCTCAACTGTTTGTAATTCCAAAGACAAGACATTGAAGCTACTGCTTGCCAGAAAGGGAACTCTTACATTTTCAGTCAGGCCTAAAATGAGAAAGATGTTGTTATTCCAAAATAGCTGATATGAGGGATTCATCATGTCTACTTTACAGTGCAGGCAAGGGTAGGGGTGGGAGGAAGAGAAAACACGAATGACATTTACAGCTACTTTGTGCATGCACTGTCTAGGGGGGGAGTTTTATATCCATGGCCTCATTGACTCATCACAACCATCCTTTAAAATGGGTATTATCTCCATCTTATAGATAAGAAAACAGAAGCACATGTTGTAAAGCAGGTTTAAATTTTTCAAAACTTATGCAATGAACAAGCTTTCTTCCTCTATATTCTGTGTATTCTGATCAGTCAGGACTTTGTAAAGCTTTACTTTCTATGGTTTACTTTAGGAAAATAATATTTATTTTGAAAATGCTTTCTCAAACTTCTCCCCCGCTCCCAGAGAATCTGATATACCCCTCTTATGAGCTGTACGACCCTTAGCAAGTTACTGAACACCTTGGTTTCTCAATTTCCTTTTCTGTAGAATGGAAATACTATCCCATCACCTCCATACCTTTTAGGGTAGGCAGTCCACCAAATGGCAGCCATTATCATTAAGGAGAGTCAATGTGATGCTAGAGAACAGCACAAGACCTGCCACCTGGACCCAGGTCTACTACTATACTAAACAAGAGGTGTGGCCTTGAGCAAGTTATTCAGATTCCTAGGGCTTCAGTGGCTCCATGTGTAACACAAGCAACTCTTCTGCTGTGAGGGTCAGATGAGATAATCTGCACAGAAGGTCCAACAGAGGTCAGACATTTAGGAAGTCCTCCACACAAGGCAAGTGATGTTTTTGCTTTTCTCCTCAGCATAGCCTCTTGCACAGAGCTGGTGCTCATCATTTGAAGGTCAAGGAATGCATGATGCATGGAATTGGCTGTGTTGCTTCTGATTGTTTCTCTTACACACCCTAAAAATAAGGTGAGCGCAGGAGGCAGGATGAAAATTGTGTCTATTTATGAAGCAGCCATGACTGACCTGGGCCCTATGCTGAGTACGTTACATTTATGACTTCACTCAATCCTCACAACAGCCTGTGAGGTAGGGATTCACCACCTCTACTTCACAGATGAAGAACCTGAGGCACAGTGGGGTTAAGCAACTTGCCCAAGGTCTCAGTGTTCTTTTGAGGTGAAGCCAGGACACAATCCAAGCTGTCTGGCTCTAGGTCCTGTGCTCTTAACACCTGCCACACTCCCCGGCCAGGCCTTGGAGTCTGGCAGACCTAGACCTAGAGTTCAGGAATATTACTCTAAGAAAGTTTACTCATCAATACAATGAGAGTTAAATAAAATGTCCCATGGTTGAGATAATAGCTAAAAACAACACACCGTACCCAGCAAATACTAGAAGCACAAACGTCTATGCAGCTATGGAAGAACATCCAGGATGCAATGTAGCATGGCAGGTAAGAGCAGAGACTAGAGGGAACCCAGCTCTACAGTGACCAGCAGTGTGGCCTTGGATGCAACTTGACCTCTTTAAGGCTTGTGTGCAGAAGAGTCAGAGTCTTTGTTTGTAGAATGGGGATCAAAACTGGATTAAAGGCTATAACACATGTGAAATGCTTAGTACAGTATTTAGCTAACAGTAGAAAAACACTCAAATAGCTGATTACTATCATTCTTCAAGGTCCTGCCACACTTATATTTACTAAATTCTGGACCCAAATCACTTGGAGATGCTACTGTCTATCTGTGGGCTATAAGTTGAAGGTCACCTGAGAGGCACTCCCAGCCTATGCTGTCCTCAAGGAGGCTGTAGCGATTAGAGTAGGAGGAACCTCAATACCAGGCATCCTGATTTGTATTTGGAGCAAGACAATCAAAGAGCATCAGGCCCAAATTGCTCTAATCATCATAGGACAGCCACACGCATCTGCTTAGGGGGAACCAGCCTCTGTCTGGTGCTTTCTGAGAACTGCTAACACCTGAGCCATTCCTCTCAAGGAGCAGTGGGGCCATCTGTAGTAGTGAGGGCACTTCACTCAGGGGTGGGAATGGTCAGATCAGACATCTCTGAAAAGGTAAGTTACTTTACTGTCTCCCTGCAAATATCATATAACGAGTCACAGGAAAACTGAGTCTCATTTAGATGAGAGCCTGAATCACTGACGGCTCATTTCCTTTGTAGTGGGAATAAACTGCACACTAAGGTGCTTTGTTGCCACAACTTAAGTCTTGGCCCTGCTATCTCCTTTACAAAAATGAACACTGCAAAAAGCATGGTGAGCAGCCAGAACTGGCAGCAGAGACCCTGCCCAGTGCACTCCTGGTGTTTGCTACTCAAAATCAAATAAACGCAGTCTTTTCCAAATCTTCAGATTAGTTCCCATCCACACAAACATGCAAAACCTAAAACAACAAAAAAAGTTTAATATGACTGTAAGAATATTCTCATTTTTGAACTGACAACAATCTACTCATTTAATTTATTTTTCCAGATAACAGGAGGAAAAAAACCCAGGACTGACTGAATTTCGAGGCAAACTCAAAAAAAGGTTCTTACATTTTTGGCTCCTGATCATTGTAGTTGACAAGATGACAACGGAAAACACAGCAGAATTTATGGAAAAAACCAAAAAAGCTGTCTAACTGGTTTAGACTGAAAAGCTAAAATCTTATTTCACTTAGTTGTATAAGACTTTTTTTAGCTGATTTTCCATAAAAAGCCAGAATTGAAATAAAAGTGGAACTGGAAATGAACAACTATTTAGCTGACAAACATCATACCTGATTATCAAACTCTATCTCAACTTTTTGGGTTCATCTTCCGCACTAATAAACTATTTATTCCCATCCTGCTAAAACAGACTTCTTTAAAAATAATTTTTTGAGATAGATGGTCTTGCACACATAATACAGTTAGACTCCCCAATAGCAGAAGCATTTCCTGTTAGTATCATGAAACCAAACAAACCCAAACTGCACAATGTTCTGAGTTCTAGGCCCTTGTAATTGCTGGTGGGTAAAAAACTGATACAACATTTTGGTGGGCAATTTGACAACATCTTAAAAATATGAAGACCTTTTGAGCCAGAAATTTTACTTCTGGCCCAAGATTAAGGAGACAAAGATTTAATTAGAGATATTCACTGCAATGTTGTTCTTACTACTAGCAGCTGCCTAAATATTTAATAGCAGGGACTGGTTAAACTACAGCACACAACGCAGGATTGAAAATGTTAGCATTAGAAATAATATTATAGAAATAACTTTACTGATATGGAATGACAGCTACATTGATTACGCAAAACAGGTGATAAAATAGCGTTTACAAACACACATACCCACACACACCCAACATACACATAAGACTAGAAGGACACTTCCCAGATGCTAACTGGATATATCTGGGTATTAAGTTTAGGAATGCTTTTAACTCTCTATCTGCATTTTCTGTTTTAAAGATGAACACATTTTAATTATAACGATAAAAAAAATTATCTGGTGCTCTACAAAGCTTACCACAGCTGACAAAGAAGCCACAGATGGACCACTGAAAATAGCTGTCCTGGTCTAACCCTCAGGCTGCAATGTGGTAGACGAAATGATGAGAGACAGTGGACTTAACTATTTTGGTCCTGATAAAATCACAATCTATCAGTCTCTACTGTCCTGAGGTGTGACTCATGCTCCTGATGAGGCACTAATGGCCGACAGGGGGCTAGGGTATTCCAGGAGAGGGCCAGCCAGAAGCTCAAAGAGCACAGCTGCTGGCAGACCATGCCCTGATCCCTGCACATGGTGACGAGGTGAGCAAGGTCAGTGCCTAGCTCAAGAGCTGCCAGATCTAGGTCAGAAAGGGTGTTTTGCGAGTGTGGGAAGGAATGCCAATCAGAAGGTATGGGTTCCAGTCTTGGCTCCACCACATACCAGTCATGCACCCAATGGGAACCCTTAGAGTCCTACAGCATCAGCTTTCCTTCTGTAAAGTAAGGATTGTACTGGTGGGGAGGGTTACAATGCTCTGAGTGCCTCTCATGTGCACAGTTCCCTCTGAGCAATACTGACCAAGTGACCTCACGGCCATGGTTAAAGCTGAGTGGGCCCCCGAGAGACGGCAGCTTGCCTATGGGTTGGCCAAGGGTCTGGTGGGAGAATGCTGCCTATCAGAGGTAACAGTGACTATCAACCAACCAGATCCTATCAGGGGGTTTGAAGGCAAGATGGAGGCAGCGGCAGAGGACACAAGAGAAAAAGTCAGAGGAAGTGACTGAGTGTCAAGCAGGGCCAAAGTAGAAATAAGAGCTGCCGTAACAGTGCAGCAGCAGCCTTCACAGGGCAACAATGTCCTTGAGCTTCCTTGAATCCTGAACAGTGCCATTGCAAGGCTGGCTGGGTGGGAGGGAGAGTCTGGGATTCCTTATTCCCTCTGAATCCCCATTTCAGGTGACCCAAATATGTGTATCAGCTTTAAGCCATGAAGGATGTCATTCTTGCCCTGAACACCCTAGATTACTCAGTAAAAGCAGCAATGTGTTCCCTTCCTGCTGACACTGACTGATCCCTGGGGCAGCACTCTATGTGCTCCACCCAATAATCGAGGTGGTAAGGACTCTCATTAGTCCCACTTTATAGTTGAGCAAACGGAGGCTCTACGGTTCAAGATCACATGGCTAGAAAGTGAAGGAGAAGAGATTTATAATCAGGTCTGTTAATGTCAAAGCTCACGTTCTCCATACTCCTCCTCCCCCCACAAAAATAAAATTTGAAGTACTTCGTAAAAAGGAAAGAGCTAGAAAAAGTGAGCGATGCATAGGGTCTGCTGGGCCTGGTGGGAGTGACCGACACAATCATGCTCCTGCCCGTGCTGCTCCTTACCTGCCCAGTTTCTGGCCCTCGCCAGTGAAGGCTTTGAAGGCTCCCTTGGGCTTCACAAAATCCTCGTCCCGATGGTCCTCCATGTCCAAATTCACCTGTCCACCGTGCGCTAACCTCCGCAGCTCTGCTGGCACCTCCCTGCAGGAGAAAAGGCAACGCTGGGGTCCACACAGAGCAGGATGGCAATTGGTGATGGGTGCGAGAGGAGAAGTAACTTTAGTTCCAGTTGTGAAAATTGCTGGGCCTTCAGAGGGAGCTGGTTACTTTAGTGGCTGCCTGCCTCCCCCTTCTCTCTTGCCTGCTCAAAATCATAGCAGAGACCTGTATCTTATTTGGTCACTTGGCTCTGCCCCAGGATTGAAGGAGAAACACGGACAAACAAGGTTTTGGAGTAGATCTGTGAATCTGTGTCTCAACTGTGCCAAATCTGCTTAAATAGATTTTACTTCTTAAACAATAACCATTTGGATCAGCCTCCTCCCTCCCATCTGCCATCTCCCTCGCTGACACGGAACCCAGAGGAGGCCTTTCTGCTCACCCTCTGCGTATAGACTCCAGAAACTGGGCATTGGATGGGTCTTGGTAGCTTCTGAGTTCACCATTGTCCAGGCTGAATCCGCTCTTCCAGAGCTTCAACACTACATGAACCTGTGACAACATGAGGTAAGCAGTCCATACACTGCCAGGAATCTGGCAAGCACACCCATGCAAACCTGCAAATTGGCAGGTTTTTTACTATTTTACTGTGTCACTATTAAAACAGACAGACACACACATGCATGCACAAGGAAACCAATCAACAACTGACCATGTAAGTATCAGCCTACAATAAGAAGGTAACGTGGCAGAGGTTAAGAGCACGGACTTTGACTGAAGACGACCCGGGTCTGGGCTTGATTCTGCCACTCACTATTTAAGTGGCTCTGAGCAGGTCGAAGCTGTGGCTTATCTGCAGGGGTGCCAGTGTGCTTGGCACACAGCTCATACTTAACTAAACTATCACAGCAAATTTACTCATGGACTGTTTTGCAGCCATTAAAAATTTTACCTACAACTTCTGTTAACAACTTCCTATACATATTCAGAAGATAGGGTCTAGGAGGCTACAAACCAACATATTAGCAGCTGCTACCTATCAGGTGATAGGATTTTTATTTTCTCCTTGACTTTATTTTGAAATATAACCCAAAATGATTAAAAATGAATACATTATAGAAACTAATGGTCACATGGCTATATGAAAATGTTTATGGCGTAATATTAAAACAAAAGTGTTTATATAGTATGATTACACTTATTGGAGGAGGAACCCCTATGCACAGGGAAAAAAGGACTGGACAACAGTAAGGAAAATTTTTAGAAAATTGTGTTTTAGGCCTCCCTGGGTGGTCTGAAGACCAAGTTCTTTAGCTATGTCCACACTACCAGAGAACCTCGGAATCACTAGTTCTCTGCCTGAGATCCATGGAATGCTCAGCAAACTCCTTCATTTGTCCCCTCTCTCTGCCCACTCCTTCTCACAAGCCCCCTCGCCCAACCAGATGAGCACTGCCTTTGATTCTAAGGTAAGCCTCTCCCTTCACAGACCACAGTGAGGGCACTCCCTCTTCTCTTCCACAGGCTGCTTGTTCACACACAACATGTGACCAATCCCTTCTGAAAAACAGCAGAACAGTCCACGAGCTTCCCTCAGGAAGGTAGATGCACACTCACATCTTGGCTGGAATGCCGCCTCCTTTCTCCTGCCACGTAGGCAGACTCTTCCTCTGGTGCTGCCCCAAGGCGGTAGCCGCCCCCTGCAAACGGCTATAAAAGACAAGTTCATAAACACCTGAGAAGTGGGTCAACAGTGATGGGGTTACTCAGGTACAATGATGTTATCTCAAGCTTGTTAACAACTAGGGGCACTTTCTCTGGTATCAAACTCAGAGCTACAGGGCCAGGCAGTATGGTAAATGAATTAAGTGGCCAGGATTGGGCTGAGAACTGGAACAGCGCATGCAGAGGGACTAGCTCTGCTACTAAGCTCTAGTTAATCACAGCCATGTAGGAATCTAGGTGCAGGATAACACCAAAGACTTCCAATCCAGGTCATAGGCCACAGGTTTGAAAACTTTGCCTCAAATCTTGATTTCATGTTAAAGGGTGAGAGAAACTGCACTGTTCTTCTCTATACAAGAGCAAGTGAGCAAATGAAAAACAAAACAAATCCAGTCCCTACTGGGGTGAGGTGAGGAAGCCTCCTTCCCCCACTCTGGAACCCAAGTCCTGTGCTCACTCTCGGTTTACTGGTCTCTCCAGGGCTCTTGGTCACTCGTTCCACAGCTACAGCTCCATGCTCCTTGGCACCTTTAAAGAGATCATCTACCAGCTCGTTGGGACTTTTCTTCCTGGGAGGGCCAACAATCTGCTGTCCACTTCTCTCTGAGCCCCCGGCATAAAACCTGTGCAGAAAACACAAATCTAACACCAAACGCACCTGGAAAACATGAATAGAGCACGTGCCAGGCTCTGGGCTAGGTGCTGGACACACTGAGGCGAAGGGTACAATGCCCATCTTTAAGGAACTTACTGTCTAGTTGGGGACATATGTAAGGAGGCAGGCAGGCACAATGCAGTGTGAGCAGCAACAGAGGTCAGTAAGGGGTGATGTGGGAAACACTGAACTGGGAAGGACAGTCAAGGCTTCACAAGGGTATCTTCTGGGCTGAGTCTTGAGGATGAGGATGAGGATGAATTTAGCAGGTGAAGAAAACAGGGAAGGATATTCTAGGCATGCACGACAGCATGTCAGTTCCAGAGTCCCAAACTGGGAATTAGCCATCCAGTGGCCAGCACCTCTCCAGGAGGTAGCAACTATGGTCACTAGCAGCTCTGGGTTAATGGTGGCAGCGGTGTGGTTAGTACAAACAGCTAGGCTCCAGTGTTGGCTCTGCCACTGTGTGACCCTGGGCAAGCCAGTGCATTGCCTTGTATCTCACTTTCCTTGTCTTTGAAAAGGGAGGGAAAGACCACATGCCCTACCTACCTGCTCCTTAAGTCAGGGCCGTGAGGTTCAAATCAGCGGATGTATGCAAAAGAATAAGCACAGAGTAATGCACACATGTAAGGTGGCGTGACAGAGCACTGAGAGCTCACCTAAACCTCAGCTCGCTATTCTTGTGACATAGACCGGGGCACTGAGGAGAGGGTACTGGAGAAGGTCGAATACAAGCCCCAAGATACCCACACCAGGCTTTGCAATGGGCCAAGCACAGCTTAAGATTAAGTTAGCACTTTTTTACTGGGTCTGAAAACCAGTGGTCACATAGCCTAGCTAGCTGCCTCCTATTCACAGCTAAGCCAATAGCATGTCTCCGAGTAGGGAGAACTGAGAAGCTATAAAAATTAGTCTCAGCCTTCTATTTCCTAACCATTCCCTATCTCAGGGAATGCAAAGCAAAGCTATGAGCCCTGGCAAGGACAACAGCACCAGCGTCATCAGGTCTGAAATGCTGAGGGATCAAGGAAGTAAGTGGGATGTGAAATGCAGCAAGGTCATTGCCTGGACAATGTGACAGGATGGAGGAAGGAGGAGGAGGTCATTTAGGAGTTGGGTATTCACATACTTGATGACATTGTCTTTCACCCAAGGAGAGTAAAACCCTGAAATTAACATTTATTCCTGAACCATGAAGGTATCTAAAAAGAAGGCTCTGAGGCAGAGTAAAGGTCACTATATAGATAAAAACAGAGAACAGAGCACATGTAATTTCTCAGGCCACTTCCCAAAGACTGACCATGATGAAGTAATTGCATTTCCATAATGATTATTATACAGTGTTCCTTAGGAATGTTTGACAGACCAAGGCAGATCCCTTGGAGAACCAAAACCCGTGAAATGAGGCTATAGCCAGTTCACTCTTGCTCATTCCAGGTAGATGCAGTTCTGCTCAACGGACTGTAAGGTCTTTATTAAGGGATCTCAAAGTTTTGACTTACGAATGGAACCTGTGAAGTGCCTTAAAAATATTCATGCTCTTGACCTGGCATTTTCATTTCTAGAAACTTTTCTTAGGAAAAAATCTGAAACGTAGTCAAAGATTAATACAGAGATGTTCACAGCACTGATATTTACAGTAGTAAAAACTGCTAACAATCTGAATGTTGGACATCCCCCACGAAGGACTATTATTATAGTCACTGAAAACACTTATGAAGAATCTTAATGACACGAGAAGTGTTTAAGATACAGCATTAATCCAACGAAAGCAAGAAACAAAATTATCTGACCTTCACCATGTAAAATACAATATAAAATAAAGTATATTTATACAGAGAGCCAAGAGTGAATGAATGAAAATATGTCAAAATATTAACCATAGTTACCAAAGGGTGGTTGAGTGTTATATTTTTTCATTACACTATCTTGTATTTTCCACAATGGACACTAATTTTATTATAACATTTCTAAAGGTTAAAAACAAACGAACAAACAGTACGTATGTTTGTGTATACTGGGAGACATATATTTATAAATCTTTTATTCTGTTGATTATGTGATATATTGCTTTTTCAATGAAAAAGAAAAAGCTGGAAAGAAATACACCAAAAATATTGATACCTGGTTACCTCTGGGTTGAGGTATTATGAATGACTTTTTTCCTTCTTATTGACTTGTTTCCCTTCCCGTAAAGTTCTTCAATAATTATGTATTATTTTAATAATTAAAAAAAGAACAAAAACAAACCAAAAATAGTCCAAAAGAAAAAAATAGTAACAAAGGACAGGGATCACTTGTAAGCTCCAGGGAGCGGGAGACAGTTTCTAGGACACAGCCCACAGTAGCAACGGCTACCGAGAACCAAGCACGTTTATCCTTCTAGGTCGTTCTAGATGATTTACACGTTACCACATTTTATGTTAACATGGACCTGCCTGTGGATCATCACCCTCGAAACAAAGACTCACCTCTGGCCCTCCTCCTCCTCCTCCTCCTCGTCTTGGTCATGAATGAGGTCTCTGAAGGACGTCACCCTATTATCACTGGAGACACAGAAAGGAGCAAAAATGACCTTAGGGGAGGTAAACTCCCATCACCAGCTGCTATGGAGTTGAGGACATGGGCTATATTTTTAGGGGGGGCAGGAAGAGGATCTATGTGGAAGAGGGTTAACCTCTCTGAGTTTATATGCAAAATAATGTGGCATTTATTTCTTCAAGGTCACAGAGGACTGAGAATAAACGAGAAAGCACTATCGTGAAGTAAAATGGAATCCAATTTAAGCTCTCCTGGGCAGAGTGAAGGAATAGGATGGGGTCTGTACTACTATAAAAACTTACTACTGGATAGCTATTTTCATAATTTAATTTTTAAATACAGAGGGACTGCCTGTGTGCCAGGCACTGAACTGGATGCTAGGTCTATAAAGCTCATCAGACACAGTTCTCACCCTTGAGTTGTTTACAGGCTAGTGGCACTGTGGCCAGGAAACCATCCATTAATACTGTGCAATAGGGGCTGTGACAGAGGTGGGAACAGAGCCTCTTGTTCTGAGTGAGGGGTGGGGACGGGGGAACATCAAGAAAGGCTTCCCAGAAAAACGCAACATCTGGACTGAGTGCCAGGGAACTGGTAGACAGCCAGTCAGTTGGATAAAGGATGGTGGGGCTGGCGGGGAAAGGGGACCAGCAGGGCATTACAGGAAGGCAGCATATGCACATACAGAGAGACCAGCAAGAGTAACACATTAAAGGAAGGACAAGTTGTCAAGAAATAAAAATGAAATGAATACGCGGGTGAGAAGGCCTCTGTGTACTTCTGCTGTAGGCTACTCAAGAAAAAGTTTTTATTAGTGTTTAGGAAAAAAGCAGAGTTATATGGGTATGGTGGAGAGGGCACACTAAAAATGGGTGTGAGAAAGGTTAACTCCCTCCTCTGACGCTGTCTTACACTGCCACTTTTTTTTTTGGTGAGGAAAATTGGCCCTGAGCTAACATCTGTTGCCAATCTTCCTCTTTTTGGTTGAGGAAAATTGTCGCTGAGCTAACATCTGTGCCATTCTTCCTCTATTTTGTATGTGGGACACTGCCACAGGATGGCTTGATGAGCAGTGTGTAAGTCTGTGCCCAGGATCCGAACCCATGAACCCTGGGCTGCCGAAGTGCACTGCTACTTTTTCCTAGTTTAGACTTGTCCTCAAGGAATAATCTTAGTTTCTTAAGGATTATGAGACATGCAATTTATAAAAACATTTTCTGTATTTCTTAGGGGAAAAAGTAGCTTCTCTCTAACAAGGGGGAAAAGGGTAATACAGGTTTAGTGAGGCTAGACAGAGGAGGAGGAGCTGTTTTCTAGGAAGAAAGCTCCAGTTCAGTCTTGAATACAGATTTATTTCAAGGAGACAATCAGAGGACAGATCAGGCTTTGAGGTTCCATCAACTAGAAATGAGAGGACAAAGACCAATCGCTCTAGCAAATACACTCCCTGTTTGAGTTAGCTGGGAGCAACCTCCTGGGCATTCCTTGATACTCTAAGACATGTAGTGCCCTCAAAGGCTAATCCCACTCATTAATCTTCCCAGGGGGAGTTTTCCACAGATGCTCAGCCTAGCATCTATGGAAAAGAGTCCTCTCTCTGTTGTTAAACACGTTCAGACACACAGATGCACGCTTATTTGAAGAAACTACCTGCTCTGATTACGGGCTTGATTCTTTCTCCAAAGGTTCTTACACCCACTTTGACAGTATGTGAGACAGACTCTGGTGTCCACATACCTGGTTCCGATTTCAATTTAGCCTCCCACCTGGGGATCCTGGGCATGCTAATGAAGTTCTCTAAGCCTTCACCTTCTCATGTGAAAATGGAGACAATTACAGCACCAACCCCATGGGCTTTCCGTGAACAGCTGGGGCACCAATGTGTGGTGGACCACATTTCAAGTACTACTCTTGAGCAGTGGTTCTCAAAGTGTTGCTTCTTGGACTGCAAGCATCAGCATTACCTGTGAAACTGTGAGCAACGCAACTCCTGAGGCCCTGCCTGAGACCTCCAGAATCAGAAACAATGTAAGGAGTGCCCAGCAATCTGGTTTTAAGGAGCCCTTCAAATAATTCTGATGCATGCTCAAGTCTGAGAAGGACTGCAATGCTCTGAGAGTTACCTTACGGCATGGATGTCCCGGGCACATCAACACTTTCAGAATACTTTGTCCCATGTCTTCCACAAATTGGCAAATTGTCTCAGAACTTTCATTTTTTCAGCATCAAAACTCTATCTCTCAGGTACCCTGGCACTTTGAAGTGGCACAAAAACCCTTTGCCACATCACATTTTCTGTGGTGATGGAAATGCTGTAGTTGCACAGTCTAACATGGAAACTAGTAGTCACATGTGGCTACTGAGCATTTGAAATGCGGTTAGCGTGAATGAATAACTGACTGTTTATTTAATTTTAACTAATTTAAACAGCCATATGAGGCTAGTGGCTACCATACTGGATGGTATAGTTTTAGACAATCAGACAATGGCAGTCACTGAAATTCTAAGAAAGTATAGTTTTGGTGGATGAAGGAAAAAAAATGGTGAAACCACTCCCTTTAGCTCAACCCTGCGCTAGGTACGGGGCGGGAGGTGCTGGACAGGGAGGCAGGATGCAGCAGCAGCAGCAGCTCTGGATTTAGACAGACTTGGGCTTGTATCTGCCATAAGAGCAGCTCTGAGCTACTCACCCTTTCTAAGACTCAGTATCCTGACCTGTGAAATGGTGAGCACCCTAGCTACTTCCAAAGTTGTTGAAGTATAAGAAGAGAACAGAGGTGAGACTATTGGGCAGAGCTGGACAGATGGTGGGCGCTCCTGAAATACTAGCCTCCCACTTACAGTTTACTTAAGGAGAAAAACTTAAGCTAAATATCAAGAGAAGAGTTCAAGACCATACAGGAGAGACGTCACCAAGTAGGACGTAGATGTGTGTTAAAGAAGTGAATGACTCACAGTTGTAGCTGGAGTTCTGAAGAAGAGAAGTGTGGTGTGCTGCCAGAGGTTGGGGATAACATGCTCAAAAGAAAAGGTTGCAAGGGAGCTAAATGTTGAAGGACGCATGGGGTTTGGACAGGCAGGAAACAAGAGGGGGCATATCTAGTCAGGTGAGAGGACAAAGAAAAGCAGAACAAAAATAAGGCAGAATTGAGATACCAAAGAATCAGTCTGGTTGGAACACAGATTTAAGAAATGAGGAAAAGATGGTAAGATTAGGATGGCAGGTTCAGGGCAAACTCTGGAAGACCCTGAAGGTCCTCAAGGCAAAGCAGTACATCATTCTGGCTGAGAGCTGAATGCAGAAGCAGAAACCAGTCTGCACGTAAATCCTTGTTTCACTAGCTGTGTGATCTTGGGACGATGCCCAGCTCACTGTCTTCATCTGTAATACGAGGACAGCAAGAGTACCCACCTCACAGGGTTGTAGTGAGGACGAAAGAGAGGCATATGTAAAGGCTTAAGCCCTTGCCTGGCACCGGGTAAGTGCTCAATAAATGACAGCTATCATCATGGAGGAGTTTAGACTCTCTCCTACAGCAATGGTTAACCATTTTATGTTCCATAGCCCTTTGAGAATTTAGTAAAAGCTATGGATTTTCTTGCCAGAAAAGATATAACACACACAAAATTCTGTCTACAATTTCAGGTAACTTATGGACATTTTCACACCCAGTCCATAGATTCCTCCTAGGGGTTCAGGGCCTCCACATTAACAACTTCTGTTCTAGAGTCAAAGGAACTCACTAACTGAGTGTTGTTCCATGGCAGCAGTGATGACATGAAAGGACATCTGAGAAGACGACAGTGGGGGATGGGCAGAGCCCAGCAGCAGGATAAGTGTCCTGCAACAGTCAGGTCAAACTGGGGTGAAGGAAGGCCCCACAGAAAACTCTGGAGGTGCTAGCAAAAGCTTGGCTTCTCCTGAGAATGTAGTCAGCCTTTTCCTTCTGGACAAAGACAACGATGTAGCAAACTGTGCCCTCAATCTCCCTTTTGTTCTGCTTCACCTAAACCCAGTACTAAGTCTGAGGCTGAACCAAAGCAACAAAGCAAGGCCTTTAGGCCTGAATGTGTGTTCAGTCTTTTACTCCCCTTGGTCTTAACATTAAACTCTCCTATTTCCTTGATTCTTTTACTATTTTATTTTTTTTGTGCTGTGGAAGATTAGCCCTGAACTAACATCTGTGCCAATCTTCCTCCACTTTCTACGTGGGATGCTGCCACAGCATGGCTGACAAGTGGTGTTATGTTCAAGCCCAGGATCCAAACCTGTGAACCCGGGCTGTCGAAGTGGAGTGCGTGGAACCCAACCACTATGCCACAGGGTCGGCCCTTCTATTTTTTTAAATAAATGTACTTGTTGTGGAATGAGACAGGAAATACATAAGAATGAAGAAGATGAGAATGGATGCTAATAATGATAGTAAAATGACAGTAACAGCAGCTAACAATGTACTGTGTTCTAAATGCTTTTTAAGTATGAACTCATTTAACGACAGGTGAGGAAAACTGAGGGACTGAGATGTTGAGTAACCAGCCCAAGGTCACAAAGCTCCAAAGTGCAAAGCTGGGATTTGAATGTGGAAAATTAGGCTCCTAGGCCTATACTCTAATAAATCACTGCCTTGATAGGACTTTGGGACTACTAGAGAAGAGAGGTGTGAATATGTGACTGACATTAGAGGCTAAGTTTCAATTTCTCTCTCCTGGTATTTCTGACACGCCGACACTGATAGTAACCTGGGTTGGCTGTGAAAGACTCATACCCCAGGAAATCAGCTGTCTCTAGCAGCAGCTGCAAGAAGAGTCCTCACCCTGACAACCATGTTGCAGGCAGTAACATCCTGACGTGCTACCACCGATACCTCGCAGGTTAGCAACTGTGAATAATGAGAAGATCACTTGCCTACTATCTCTCTTCTCTGGCAATGGGAGGTAGGGAAAAAAGTTACGGAACCAACAGATCTGGCGTTAGTGTTCCTTCTTCAAAGGGAGGAAATGTAATTTAAAGCTCAGATGCCCTTAGAGAGAAACACAATTTACCACCTCACTGGCAAAGAAACACTTTATCTGTAGTCTGGGGTTGAATAAAAAACTAAGTAAGTTTTTCAAGTGAAAACATACATAAGAGTAGAAGTAAATCAGGCAAAAGCAGGCAGGGGAGTTGTAGTTCAAACACCTTTTTAGGAAAAGGCCTGGCCTGTCTCCTGGAAGACCAGCACTGTCCCACTCTGCAGACCAGAGCAGTGATCTGCTGTGGGAACCACGGAGCCAGGGGGACTGGAACTGGGGATTCAAATGGATCACAAAGGTTAACACTGTTTCACCTAATAAGATAAGGGCTCTAGAATCAATTTGGCAAAGGGTGGGTTACACAGGTATAATTTCTCTAAGACTTCTTAATAGGGTAAGAGCCATCCTCAAATATCAAAAGAGCATTTCTAAAGTCACCTGGCCTAATCCTTTACATCTACAGCACCCCTGACAGGAAGTCCTCTGGTTTCTACTTAAAAACTTCCAGAGAAAGAGTCCACTCCTCCCATTTCATAAATAAAAGACCCTCAAACATCTAAAAAGTAGGTTCTGTGGCTTCCCCCAGGATTGGACCACAAACCACACTCAGGTAAGGGCCTCTGTCTGAGTGTGTCAAGCATATCTCTACAGGAAAGGAACAAATCTTGGAAGGAGCTACTATCCACCAGTCAGTCTAGCTTTCTCACTCACATCCACTGGTCCGCATGCCCGGGCCTAACTGTCAAGTCAGGAAATAGCTCCTCATGTGCTGGTAGCACACCCTTGTAGCAATAATTGAAGCTGGCCCTTACCTGGGGGCTGTGCCTCTGGATACCGAACTGGGGGTTGCCTGTGAAATGGTCACAATGTCTTCGTCCCCTCCATCCTCATAAAAGCTGGCTAGGGCGATCTGAAACAGAGAGGTAGTAACTTGGGATCCTTAAACAGGCGTTCATCTAACACAAATCTCCTTTGACCACAAAGGAGTAAAGACTGAAAGATATGGCCCAGACTTACAAGGTGGCCTGGACCTGAGGGCCACAGAAAATCAGACGAAGGTAACAGTCCAACTATGAGCCTTCTATCACCTGAAACAAATTTCGCCTACTAAGGGGAAAAGAAGGCAAGAAGGAAGGTTGAGATAGAGACACTCTTCATTCTCATTTTTATTAAGAAATGTGGTCTCGTAAAAGCAGTGTATATATATATTGAGCATTTACTTAGGCGCCACATTGTTCTGAGTGTAACTCTACATGTGTTAACTCATTTAATCCTTAAAGAACTAGGTAATTAGTACTATAAGTTTCTTATTTTTTAGCTGACATAGAAGCGCTGAGAAGTTAAGAAAACTGCCCAAGGTTACACAGTCGGTAAGGAGTAGAGCCAGGTTCCTTCCCAGACAGTCTGCTCAGGCCCTTACTCAGCTCTTATGTGACAGCCAGGAGTCAGGAACTGTGAGGTCAGTCCAGATCACTACTTTTACTTGCTCTCTGAGGCCCAGTTTCCTAATCTGTGCAATGGGGACACCCGTCCCACTCAACCCTGCACAATGGGATGGGAGGATCCAGTAACATTTACACACAGTCACGGTCTAGCTCTACATACAGAAGGAACATGGGAGTTTTCTGGCCAACTTGTGATTGTTCCTCTCACCGACTCAATGGATAGGTATTTAGTAATCACTTAAGAAACAAGAAAGAGCACTGAGGTCTACAGAGATGAAAAAGACATGGCTCCTGTCCTCAAGGTGACCAGCCTCAGAGACAGAGAGCTGTTGCAGGACATGCACTGAACTGGCACTTGAGGGGGGCGCCTACATTCAAGCCCTGGCCCTGCCAGGCAAGTCATGTCGCATGCCTCAGTTTCCCCACCTACAGCATGAAGAGACTGGGACTGATGACCTGCCAACCGTAACACTGTGAGCTTCTAGGTCTTTCAGGCAGACGCTGCTTTTTGTATGTCAGCCTGGCAAGGGGCTTCACACTGTGTGTCTGGACAGGTGTGATGCTCTACCTAACTCTTTTACTTCTGGGAAGCAAATTAAGTGATGGAGTCAGCAGACCCACTTCAAATCCCAACCTCATTACTGACTGGCTATGTGACCTTGGGCATAACTTGCCCTCTGAGTTTCCAATTCCTCAGCTACACACAATGGGGCTAGTCCTCTTCACCTCATAGTGTTGCTAGGATTAAATTAATCATCATATAAAGGGCCTGGCACGTGGCGCCTAAGAGCTTGGGCTCTGGAATCAGACAGAACTCAGTTCTCATGCTCTCTCTTCCACCGGTAGCTGCTGAGGCCTTGAGGGAGTTACTTAACCTCCCCAAGCCTCAGCTGCAAAATGCAAAGGTTAAATGACTTGAGACATAAGGCGGTCAGAACAGCACCAGGTGGCACACGGGCAGGTTCAGCACATCTTCACGATCATCATTTACTTAAGACGCAGGCTGGCCAAGAACATTTACGCAATTCTTTCTACCATTGATTACTGAGGCCCCATTATGTGCCAAGCGTTGTTCTGGGCATGGGGAAATCAACAGTTTGCAAAAACCCCTGCCTCGTGTAGCTCATCTTAATGCTCTCTAAATTAATTAACAAGTATTTAATCGATACCTAATACGTACCAGGAAACTGGACGAGAAAGGCCCCGACCCTCCCATTTTACAGATGAGTTGACTAAGAAAGACGATAGCTCCCCCGCCGGAGGGAGTTTCTCCCGCAATCAGGCAGGAGGAGGGGGCGCGGGCCAACCCCGGGCCCGGCTTCTCCCCGACCTGCGGCGCCGCTGCGGCAATGGGCACGAACCACGGCCTCGTCCCCAGCGCCGCTCCGCCCCGGAGCCGGTCACTCCCGGCGCGGCCGCCACGCCCCCAGGCTGCCCTGCCCACGCGGGCTGCGGTACCCGAAGTCTGGCTGACCCCGCGAACGGGCCAGGCAGAAGGGGAAACTGAGGCCCGGAAGCGCAGGTCGGGGCCAGGGGTGACCCGCGTGCTCCCTCGCCCAGGCCCGGCGGGCGACCGGCAAGCGGCCCCGGGACCGAGGCCTGAGTCGGCCGCGGCCCGGCGGGATGACTGTGCGCTTCAGCCGCTCGGGCTAGTCGCGCCGGGCGCCCGCGCCCCGCAGCCCCGGCCCGCCCGACGCGGCCCGCCTCGCGGCGCTACCTGGAGGTCCCAGCCGGCCGACTCGAGGAAGAAGCGGGCCCGGTCCTCCTCGGCGCCCGTCACCGCCACGAACTCCCTCAGCGCCTCCTGTCGCTCCGCCGCCATCTTCGCCCCGTGCGCCGCCCAAACCGCTCCGGCCGCCGCCGCACCGCCTCAGCCCGGCGGCCGCGTTCCGCCCGCGGGTCGACCCGACCAAGGCGAGCGGCGCCCGCCCGCAGGCCCCGCCCCACGCGGTGCCTCACGCAAAGCCCTCCGTGCGGGAAACTCCGCCGCTCCGCGCCCTCTGGCGGCTGCGGCGCGGACCTGCAGCCTGACGGCGGGGGAGGGAGCCGGGCGGAGGATGAGAGGCGGGGCGGGTCTTCCACAGACCTGTGGAATGAAGGATCCTGAGAGGGGCCAGATTCACAGTTATTCATTGACTCATTCCCTCATTTCATTAATTTACTCATTCGTTCATTCACTTGCTTGTTCAAATATTTGTTGAGTGTTATCAATGGCCCGGTTCTCTTCCAGGGCTGGGGATCAGCAGCGAGCAAAACAAAGTGCCTGCCCACTTGTCGCTCACATTCTAGGGAAGAAATCCCAGACCTTGAACAACAGGTTACTTCTCTCTCCCAACCCCGCTGTGACTCCCCATCTCTCTCTGCGTAAGAGACAGTCTCATGGCCTGCGAGACCCCCGTGAAACGCGCCAGCCCCTCCATCTCTTCTCCTAGGCCTTTTGCTGGCTTCCTCTGCTGCAGGTACACTGCCCTTCTTGCTGTTCCTGGAGTGTGCCAGGCATGCATTTGCATCAAAGCCTCAGCATTCGTGACTCCCTTTGCCTGGAACACCTTCCCTCGCCGGGGGCAAGATGCTGCCTCACTTTCGGAGACCTCTGCTCAAAGGGGACCTTCTCAGACACAGCCCTGTCTTTGAGGTCCTCAGCTTCTTTGCCCTCTTGCCTCCTGCCACCCTCCCTGGGATGCATTTCTCTTCATCTTCCCTTTCTCAGCTACTGCTCATCCTTCGGCTCAGTTTAGGTGTCCCCTCCACAAGGAGGCCTCTCTATGTCCCCAGGTGCCATCAGACAGTCTCCGTGCATGCTCTGTGACTCCATGTTGTGTCCACCTTCCCCAAGGGCCATGATCCCTGTGACGGCAGGAGCTGTGGCTGTCTCCAGCGCAATATGGCTTAAGACTACATGCTCTGGACTCAGACAGTCTGTGGTTGAAGCCCAGATATTACCGCTTGTGGGATCTTGGGCAGCTTCTCTCTCTAAGCTTCGGTTTCCTGATGGGTGAAATGGAGCTCCTAGCAGGACCTACTTCAGAGGAGCGTGTGAGGGTTCAGTCTGAACTGAGAGCAATGCTTGACATTTAGTGAGCCCTCAGCACAGATTAGCAGTCACTTTATCTCCTGTGAATTGCCGTCTTTGGCATTAGATAGCCATTTAATGACTCTTTGCTGAATTAATGAAGGAGTGAATGAACAAAACCCAGGGTATCTGCAGATCCAGGTGAGAAATGCAGGGGTCAGAATCCGAGGACAAGGATGCAGGGCACGTACCCGGACCCCTGAGGAGTGTCGAGCTGACTATGGGGTGATCTAATTTCAATAAATAAAAAATTTCATTTTCCGTAAAACAGACGCCTTTGTGGTGAGGAGAAACGGCTTGGACCCTCAGAACCACAAACACAGAGTCCCAAAGCTGACGTGGCTGCAAAGCCACTGCCCTCAGTGTTCATTGTGGTTGCCGGCTAGGCTCTTCTCTGACAAGCTGGGTGACGTGGGCAGGCCTCTTGCCCTCTCTGGGCCTCAGGGCCTACATTTGAACAAGGTGTGTGTGTGGGGGGCGGGGGGGGTGGGAAGTGGGCCAGCAAGTGTTCACAGCCTGCTCAGGCCCACATTCACCTGTTCATAACAAACATTTTGTATCACCCTTTACTGCCTTAGATGGAATTCAGAGATAATAAAACTGACCTACACATATTGAAAAAATCGACATCATGCTCTAACTGGAGAAATGAAGGGAAAGTAATTTGGGATAGAATGATCTGTATTTCAATCCTCAGGTATAAGCACAAAACAGGACAAAATGAAGCAGTTAGATGCTTACCTCTATGTACTTGGCTGTTTTATGAGTGATCGAAATACTCTAAGTGTGTTGCTGTGGGTAATACAATTTTTCAAAATGATAAAAAAAGCCTCAATAAAGTTAAGAACAAGACAAATTTCAGTCTTCCCTTGATTCACACAGTAATTGCGTTCCTGGGAAATCTGGTGTACATTAAAACTGGGCAAAAAAATGCTTCAAGTTTATACTACATCAAATGCATTAGGGTCTAGGTTCAGGTTATTATGAGCAGGTTTCTAGCAAGTAGTGGGAAGCCGTGTGGGAGGAGGGACCATTCTTCATGGTTTGAGATTCTGCTTTCTGTTGCAAGGGCACCCAGCACCAGGCCTGGTCCCAGTCCCTGCTCTCTTTGCTGCTGTGTCAACCCCAAATGCCCCCAACTTCCCAGAAAGTCCGGAGGCCTGGAGTCTCGCTCTAGACCATGTCCACGCTAGGCGGCTAGCAAGGTCTTTCCAGCCTGGAAACTGACAACTTGCTTCAGCTTAAAGATTGGTGGGTGATGGGGTTCCCAAGATCCAGCTTCTCGGCTGGTATTCGAGTCCCTGAACCCAGATGCCACTCCCTCTTCACTTTTGTGCCACTGAGGAAAGCCCTTTCTTAGGTGAGAGGATCCTTGACCCCTCTTCCTGAGGCCTCAGGGTGTCCTTCCTCTGTAACACTACATGGCAGCTCATGTTTATTGAGCATTTACTATGCCCCAGACACTCTTAAAAGAGCTTTAAATACACTAACTCATTCATCCTCTCAACAGCTCGATGAAGTGAGTTCTATTATCACCATTTCTGTTTTATGGAGAGGGAATCCTAGGCTCCTAAATGAGCATGGACCCAGGCATCAGGGCTCCAAGCCTGTGTTCCTAGCTGCTACATGAGGCTGTCTCTCCGTGTCTTGTAGGACTATGTTGGACCATTCCTGTGTCTGGCTCCAGATGATCTGACTGGAGGTGTTTACGGCAGCAATTTGATTAGAAGGGCATGTGAGGGTGTGAAGTTGAAACTACGTTTTCATAACATGTATCTAAATGTCCTTAATAAAATTGGGTGTAGGGAGGGTGCTGAATGCCCAATGCCAGTCCCCCGCTTCCTACCTCCAGCCCCACCCCCACCCCCATCCCAAGTCCTACCACCACTGCCACCTCCAGCTTCACCTCTCCCTTGAAGACCCACCACTACCACCTGCTGGTGCACCCAGCCCCACTGTCACCGCTAATCTCACCCCCAGTATTACATGCACCCCACTTCCCCATCCTCCATCCAGTCTCATCCCCATCTTGGTTGTCACCCTAGCCTCACCCCAGTCCCACCCTTTAGTCCCACCCTCCACCACCTCCCTACCTTCCTTTGGCATCCCCTCAGCTGTCCCCCCACTAGTGGTGATGTCATTGTGGGTGGGGATTATGCACCCCCAGGGCATGTGTCTCCACTGATCTGTCTAGGCCCCCAAGCACTAGACCCTCTATAGCTTAGTGGCTCAGGGAGAGCTGCCAGGTGGAGGATCCTATTGATTTCTCAACTGATACTCAAATCTTCCAGAGGCTTCTATACATAGAGGCACCTCTCCCCTCTCCCTACCATCACTGCCTCAGCAAAGTCGGGACTATTTCTCTCTCTTTTCATGACTTCCCCAAACCAACTAATGATAGTAATAATAATATAACAATACTGCCACCCTGTGTATGGAAAGATGCTTGGCTGCACTAGTTGGCAGTGAGACCCAAGCAAAACTATGACAACATGCCCTTTAGCCCCAGCCAACCAGCAAAACAGTGTACAAGTCCGATGATATGAAGTAGTGGTGTGGATGTCAGGCAACAGGAATCGTCCCATGTCTGGTGGGAGTGAATGTGGGCTCAAAGGCATTGGAACACAATTTGGCAAATCTAGTTGAAGAAGCCCAAAATCTATATAACTAGCTCTACTTGTGCGCATATATCCTAGGCAAATGCTTGCATGCGTGCTCAGGAGACACATTGAAACTGTCTGTGGTGACAGTGAGAAACTGGAACAACTTAAGTCTCCAACCATCAATAGAAATCACAACTAGAATATAGTGAAACAATGGAATACTATACAGCTGTGAAGATGAACGAATCAGAGCTATAGGTAACCAATCTGGCTAAATCTCAAATGTTGAGCTGAAAAAGCAAGGTTGGGATGATATGTGTAGTGAAGTGCCATTATATAGTGCCATTTAGTTAGAGTTTAGAAATGTGTAAGACCATGCTCGACTAGGCCTGGCACCCCCTCACCCCCAGCCCAAAGCTATACAGCTGCCCTCTGAGCTGTGCGAGTGTGTGTCTTGTGCATGGTGGTGGAGCACACCTGACCAGGCCTGGCGTCCCTTCTCACCCCAGCCCAACACTGAACCCTCAGGGCTGCCGTCCTCCGTGCTCCAGATGCCAGGATACAGGAGTTCCCTGTGGAGCAGTGTCTGTCCCTCCTCTTTCTCCAGCTCTGGGCCTTCTCTGCAGGAGGAAGTGAGAGGCCCTCACGGCCTGAGGAGAGCGACGTGAATAGACCCGTCTCTCTCACAAGGAGCTGCCATGCAGACTGGGCCCTGGGCAGCCTTGACTCCTTGGGGTCAAGGGTCTCCTTAGGGCAGGACGAGGAGAGGGGCAAGAACCATGGGAAGGGAAGAAAAGAGAGAGAAGAGCGCAGGAAAGGAGAGAACAGAAGAAGAGGAGGGAGAGAAACAGACGCTCCGATGCAGGGAGGCCTGGAGTATGGGCACTGACCTCCTGCCTCAGATCCCGAGACCCAAGCAGGATGAGCCGCCAGCGGCCTGTTGGCCCTGATGGGAGCTTCGGCCACCCCATGGCCTGCCCCCTTCTCTGTCTTTGATCTGTCATCTTGCCTGTGCAGCGCCCCAGGCCCCAAAGCAGGGCAGGGGCTGGACTGCGAACTTTGACTCCAGTTCATTTCCTGCTCTTTCCATCTGTCAGGACCAGGTTTTCCCCGAGGGCCCTGAATTATCCACCATGTGTTTTATTTGCCAGCACCCTCTCCACTTCTTTTGGGGCCTGGACCCCCCTGCCCTGCCGTGTCCCTATAAGTCACGTCAGTGTCTTTCCCTAGGATTTTCCAATGAAATCTGAGGAGGGTGGCTGACGTCACAAGATGAGGGACTCAGGCACCG